TGGAGACTAGTTCTATATATGTATGTATGAACAGGTCTATATATGTCTATATAGTTGACTGTATGTATATATATGTAGTATAATGAGTATATTATAATAGATAGATAGATAGATAGATAGATAGATAGATAGATAGATAGATAGATAGATAGATAGATAGAAGATAAGATAGACTAGATAGATAGATAGAGTAGATAGATAGATAGATAGATAGATAAGATAGATAGATAGATAGATAGATAAGATAGATAGATAGATAGATAGCCATAGATAGACTAGATAGATAGATAGATAGATAGATAGATAGATAGAATAGATAGATGAGATAGGCATAGATAGATAGTGATTTAAATATATATATTTATAATATAATAGATATATATATATATATATATATATATATCATTATAGATATATATTAGTTAATATATATATATATATGATATATATATAGATATATTCGCATTTGGACATTCTGCCACTAAAACACATTGAATCTTTTGTGGTTGTTGCAGGTGTCACTTTTGCCAGCTTTTGCGATCCATGGATGGTGTCTTTGAAGGACGAAGAAGCAGCTGAGTCAACATAAGTTTTTTTCACCTCTTATGACGTGTAAGCTGCATTCGACCTAGTTGCTCATTCCGTGCATGCTGAGAGGGCTTGTTGCGGGACAAAATTATTCCTGAGGAGATTTTATGGAATATTAAACTTGTGGACTTGTAATTGTTTAAAATGGTTCTGGAAGACAAAACTCAGACAAAAATTCTCAGAATGCGACTTTTTTTTTTTTTTTTTTTTTATATGAAAAAAAACTTATAAAACATCAGAGGCAGAATGCGGTTTAGGTAACAGAAATTAAATATATGTTGAAGTAAGAAAGAAATTAATTTTTAAATTATCTCTTTACTTCCTTTGTCTATGAAAGACATGGATGTGTGAAAAGACATTAAACTCTCCTTCCTGCCCAGCCTTAGAGACATTGAGAGATTTTTTCCTTCCTTTTTTCCTAAAGGGAATATTTGACATTGATGTCCATGAAAATCTCATCTAAATGTTCATTCTTATGTTTAAGAATATTTTTACTTAAAGGAAAGTGTTATTTTTTGGAAATCAATTTCTAGAAAAAAAAAAAAAAACAGGGGTGGGGGAAAAAAAAAAAAAAAAAAAAAAATAAAAAAAAAAAAAAAAAAAAAAAAAAAACCCCCCTTTCCCCCAAAAAAACAAGGGAAAATATGTTAAGATGTGATGCTTCAGTATATTTTTAACTGTCAATCTCTCTCAGAATGGGTTTTAGGTAACAGAAATTAAATATATGTGAAGTAAGAAAGAAATTAATTTTTAAATTATCTTCTTTACTCCTTTGTCTATGAAAAGACATTGTGTGGAACTTCGTCCTCCAGCCTTAGAGACATTGAGAGATTTTTTCCTTCCTTTTTTCCTAAAAGGGAATATTTGACATTGATGTCCATGAAAATCTCATCTAAATGTTCATCTTATGTTTAAGATATTACTTAAGGAGTGTATTTTTGAAATCCATTTCTAAAACAGGAACCTCCCAAACAAGAAAATATGTAAAGATTTGATGTTCAGTATTTTTAACTGTAATAACAAAGTGTCCTAAAGATCCATTATCTTGTGAATATTTATTGAAAGTTGTTATCATCTGCCTTTGTATTAAAGAAACTCCCTCGAAACAGCAATTGTTGAGTAGTTTAGCACTGCATCAGTTTTCTTTGAGGTCGGCATTTGGGATTGACACGACGCTGCCAGTAGCTTCCTAGCTGCCAGCAATAGCAGTAGCTTCTCTGCTGACTTAATCTATCCTTGTGGCTGACTGAAAGGGCCTAGTGCAAATTTGGCCTTACAGTGAAGAGCGGTTGTTCCTGCCATGCGAACATGGCAAGGTACAGCAGTGGGACACAAAGAGAGTTGGTGCAGTGAATAGTTTGCTCTGTCAAATAAAGGGGTTGCGGCAAAAAGTACTAATCCATGTTCCACGTAATCATAGTAAAAATAGAAGAATGTCTCCAGAAAAGAAACCTGCATATCAAATGCTGATCAAACTTCTCCATACTCTCTAGTGCTATGAACAAAGCAGTAAGAAGTGTATTGACACCATCTGATACATCTGTATTAAATAAACTGTGTTATTCTGTGGCTAAACATGGTTAGCACAAAGGTGTTCTCACTTCATCACTTGCATGTAGGTCTCCTCTCGAGTATTTTGTTTTTGTTCATTTCCTTTTGTTCACACCAATGGAAACAGGTGTTAAGTTGGACAAAACCAAGGATGTGTAATTTGTAGTTTTTTTCACTTTCTTTCTTTGCCCCTTTGAATAAGCTGATGAATTATGAAAACTTAATTTTATAAGGGAGAAACTTCTTGCTATCCTGAATTGCCTTCAGTAAATTCTCTAGCTTGATAATTGACTTGCTGTGCGAGTGTTTATGGTTTTGTGAAATTTTCATTATATTCATATGCGCACTTGCACCTATTACTAGGCAATCCGAAGGAATTTTAACTTTTCTGATTATTCGCTAAATAGAGAATTGATTAGGAGAATCCAGGGGATTCTTACTTTTTATTTTTTGGTTTTATGTTTATTACTTTTCAAAATTGACTTATCAGCTTATTCATCAAAATCACAGAACGATTTACTCCAAAAAATGCCAAAATGTTTAATAGTGCAAGTTAAGGGTGACAAAGAAATGTGAAGAAAATACACTAGACCTTGCCACAAGAAATCTGTTTGTTTCTGAGCCAGCAATTAGTCTGCCTCAGATCATCTCTTTGCATTCAGAAGGTTGGTGATTAGATTATGTTTAAAGGCAGCTAGCCTTCCTGTTTTGATTGGAGCACTTTATACTGGAGTGAAGAAGTTCATCTGGAAATGTAATTTTTAACACAGATATTGCCAAAGTATTTCCAGTAGTAGTAGTATTATATATTAGATTCAATTTTTTTATATTTCATGATGGATTCTGTATTATTGAAGTATTGGCTATTTTGTAAATGAAATGTAAAAATAGGTTTGTTACTGTTGAACTACCAGTAGTCCTTTTACAGAGGCAGGCTTTACAAGAGTATTGGTCCTGCATGTTATCAAAAATGGTATTGAAAAATGTATTCAGCATCCAAGATGTCTTTGGCTGCTGTCGGTTAGGGCAGTCTGCTTACTATGCATGCAATGCCTTTAATTGAAGTGGATATCTTGGCTTTATATCAATTTGTGTATTTTAACTCTGAAAGAAATTACCTGCCAACCTTTCAAATGCTGTAAAGTGAAATTCAGGGCAGATATGGGACAGGTAAGGATTTGACAGTGTGTACTTACATTGTTATAATTTCAGATCATTGCATGGTTATTGGCAAAATGGTAATTTTTTGTGTGTGTGTGTGTGCGAGAGATAAAAGGAAACCAAGCAATGAAAATACTGATAAAGACTTATTGTAGGTGAAAATGCCAACCAGTATATCTTGACTTCTTGCAGTTACATTATTTTAAAGGATCTTCATTCTGGAAGGAAATTGAAGGTGTTACACCACCTCTCTTAGTTTCGGTGATTATTTTATTTTCTGAATTATACTAAACTGGCCAACTCCAAACTGTTCAATTCAAACACATACTGTACATCAATAGAACCCAAGACGAACAATCATGATCACAATCAATGATCTAAGTTTAATTGAACCGGCAGCGCTGATTAGAGTTGGTTGTGTCGTCATGCGATTACGCTGTGGCAATCAGTGGACGACGGAGAGGAGGTAGAGTGGGGATACGGGAAGAATGTGAAGGCAGAGAGTGGGGAGATGGAGAGTACTATTTAGTTAAAAAAATTGGTCTTACCTAATCACTGTCAAGCTATCGCTGTTTTCACTTTCTTCACACTCGTTATCCGAGTCCATATTTATAACAATACTGTCTAATGTCCGGCACTATACAATCCCTTTCCCAGTATTCATTTTCTAGTTTCGTGACGTGAGAGCAATACCCCATCCAGTCTTCAGTAGTGACTTGTGTGATAGCCCAGTTTGTAAGTTCTCACAATTTTGCTGTAATTTTATAATGTATGTATGTGTGTGTGTGTGTCTCATCTATCTCACTACAGTATGGAACCCCACTATATGGTTTTCTTCCATAACAACGAAGGAATTGCCGAGAAGCTATTACATTTTGTTTTCTTTCTTCTATATATTTCTTAAACATGTAACGAATTGAGAAGAAAGTATTAATTCCCCATAGTCTTTAATTATGTTAAATAGGATAGAACTTTCTATTCTCTCTGAATTTAACTAACCGTATATGAAATAATTAAAGACATTAGAGAAATAATACATTCTTTACATAAAAGCCACAGGTGATACATGGACTAGATTGTTGTTAAACAAACATATTTTTTGGCTCTCTGTTCTCACTGAATTTAACTACACTTGTGGCTTTTATAACTATTACCATTATTGATATTCTCTTCTCTATCATTCTGCAATGTCTTTAATTATTTCAATTGAACTAGGTTGTCTTTAAACAACACCTGTGACTTTTTTTATAACTATTGCCACTTTCGTTATTCTCTTCTCTATCACTTTGATATTACCATAATATATGTACTAACAAGGAAGGAATTGAGGTGACGGTAGTATTGCAGCAAGGTATTCACACTCATTTAAAACAATTGAATGATTTTTTTAATATTTTTATTTGGTATTTCGTAAATAAATTATTTATGCGACCCCACGTGTCTTTGTTTTTCAAACCCCCTTCGGGGATTACTAGAGTTACATTAGCGTTATTAGCAGTATTGCATCCTATGAAAATTAAATAAGGCCTTTCCTTCACAGGCGTCTACACCCATGCTCTCCAAGTCGGCCGTCAGTCTGTAATAACAATAAAAACTTATATTAATACAGATTCATTCAATCTTCAAATAAGACTTACACTAAGGTGTATACAATTACTTTTGCGGGAGAAATACGTCGACTGCGTCATGCAGTGTGACGCATATAGTTGTATTGCCGTATTTATTTGAAGAAACGCTGCGGGCTTGCGTTATGAAAAACGCAAGCCCCCGTGGAAGAGCGTTCAATTTTAAAAACGCGTTGCTAGCCTCCGCCTTGGCTAGGAACGATTTCCATGGGCTAGAAAAGTAGTTATAATTGTTGTCAGTACTTTTTTTTCATTCATCAACGTGTGAGATATTATACTTACTCCATGCGTGGCGGGGTGTACATGTTCACCGGACAATCCTTCGCATTAACGATTTTTTTTCTGTATGCGGAGTTAATATCAACCCCACCGTTGTTGACTTCGTCGTCGAAGCTGTTGCCCCTAACAAGGAGGGCGACGGCGTCACGGCGAATGGTTTCTAATTCTTCACCACATTGGTCACTGCAATCATAATACAATATAAATGAAATATTATATATAATGTATTATAGACAGTCAGCCAGCAGTAGTGTGTGTGTGTGATAAATTTTCATTCGCTTCACCAGCGCTTGTGGTGCTGGGGAAGGAGATGGCGAGCACTCGACCACCTCTTCCTCATCAGAGGTATAGAAGACTTCCTCATTTGAACGAGATATCTTGATCTCCACTCAATGTCTGCTCTTTCGATCAACACTTTACGTTTTGAATTACATCTGTTCCATCTGTATCCAATCGTCATCAACCTCCATAGTGACTTTTCTCCACAAGGAAAATTGATCTTTTCTTTTATTATGGGCAACATTGTTGATACCGTTGGCACTCGCTTTTCACGGACATAGAAATCAAAGATAGCGTTTCTGATAACGCCCATGTCACACTCATCTATTTTCACAGCGTTGCGACGAGACACTGTTCTTTTCTTTCAGAGTGAAATAAGTCGCCTGTCAGCACTTCATTTCGTGTATTATTTGCTTTCCGAAGTGTTTTAATACTAGTTACACCAACACCAGTATATACCGCTGCTCTTTCTGTGGCTTTTGTCAGAGGAACTAGCAGATGATTTTGTCTCTTTATCGCATGCCTCAATTACACTTGCTACGATCGCCCGACCTTCACTGTGAATTGTCGAATTCGATTTCCATTTCGCGTGTAACATTCGCGCACTCTGAATGACAACTGAGCTGGTGTTTGCGAAACCAAAGCAGTGACAGTGCCCGCTCGCTCTTTCCTACAGCGCATGTATGATTCACCGACGTCTGTCAACCAAATCCTACAGCCCATCGCCTTATCGCGCTCCCTCCTCCCCGCGGAGAAACGTAGACCCCTCTCACAGGGCCGTTACATCCCCTTGCGACGTTTTAGACTTCCCTTCTCTTTAATTCGTGATAGTGTTGGAATAAATTCAACGGAAAAAACATAATTTAGAAGGTGTATGACGGCTTCTCTAGATCACAGCTCTGATTTATCTCCGGGCACCCGCCGTCTTTCACTTGCCTATCAGGAAAAATTCTCTTTAAGTTCTGTTAACGGCTTTTCCACTGAACTGAGGAACAAGGCCCACCTTGTGTTGTCTGCAGCAATTTTATAACACTGCATGTAGTCTCCCCATGTTTTGTACATCCGCGTTATAAGAAGCAAACGGGGGAGGTGAACGCGTACCGACGGCCAGTCACTGCTTCCATGACTCTCACCATTTCCACCTTTCCCTGTTTAAAAGTCTCTTGCTAAGCTGTTGCTAGGGGGGCACGTTGCTGCAGTTGCTGTTGCAACAACCTCGCCAACGTAACCGTGCTGTCCTCAGTGCTCTCTTCCGGAAAGCTTTCCCTCGTCGCCATTTTATTGTGTTCTAGGAAACATGCAAAATGAAAAGCAGTTTATTTCGAGCTGCCATATAACACTTTCCAAATCAGGTCCACGTACAAGCGATGTCGCCGAATGTTCAATAGATGTGCCAGAAACGAGCCTACCCATTCAAGAACTCAAGTGTCATAGCTAGGTCGTTGTACAATGCGTAGGCGTGCGCAGGATTTTAGGAATGGGGGTGCCTGACCTAACACTTCCACGACCCCCCCGCCCCAGGAATCAATTATTAATTTTAAAATCTTTAATTTTTTATTAAAAATATGTTTACAATATATTTGAAATCTATACAACATTTGAAACTAATTTTATTTATAATTGAATTTAGTAACTAATTTAAAATAAATACAATCTTTAGAGTAACATTAGCCTTTCAAAAGGAACAAGTTTTTTAAATGCAATGATAACATCAAGTATATCAATTTCCATAGTTTTCGACTGTTCAATAAATAATAAAAATGAAGATAAACGCTCTTGGCCCATTGTAGATCGAAGCTTTGATTTTACTATTACAAGCTTTGAAAAACATCGTTCGCATGAACAGCTTGTTACTGGGATCACAGAAAACTTGATTAGTACCTCTCTAAAATTATAATATGTAGTCTTTCTACAATCATGTAGCCAAATAAGCCATTTCTGTAAGTTATTTGGAGGATAATTATCACTTTTTTCTGGCTTTCAGTAACTGAATTTCAGCTTGTAATTCTGAATAATTTAAATCAAAATGTTGACATAGTAATTTATGATCATTCTCAGATTCTAAGATGTATACAATTTCCTACTGCGTTGATAATGGATTAGATTCTTGTGAAAACTTACAGTTCAAAGTTTCTACATAACAGAAGCAAGAACGGGATAAAATGTAAAAAACTTTATTTCGTTTTTGTTACTACCAGTGTAGTTCGCTATATTTGGAGAATAATCTGTTCTACGAGAAATCTTTCTAGTTCGAGTGCGTGGTATTTCTAGTCCTAATTCTTGACATTTTTCGAGAGCTCGGTTATAAACAGAATCGTAGACACTCTCAGTACTTCTGTTGTGTAGAAGAGCTGCGGATAGAGATTGAATGCATGAGACGGCTTCATTCAAATCATAGTAATTCGGAGAAAAACAAAAGTTGTCGTGTACTTGTAATGGGGGTGCCCAGGCCCGCCTGTGCGCACGCCTCGGGTACAGTGCGAAAAACGTCTGTAAGGCAGGGTTGGTTATCGCTCGCGGTCACAATCCCTCTCTTCGCGCTTGCCAGCGCCGCCGCCCCGGGTTGAACGTAAACTCCTTGGCGCGGGCGCGTCTCGCGCGCTGCGGTGCCTGGCGGCGGGGCGGCGGACCCCTTCTCTGTAGTAGCTGGCTCCTCTACGAGTTTGGCCGCTACTACAGTTGGCTGTAGGAATTATCGGCAATCGTGGCATTGGAGCGCGCGCGCCCGCCTATCGGATTATTCGAATCACCTGTGTAATGTACAGCAGCATATCCGTTATTGTCAAGCGTGTTAACGTCTGCTCTTTTCAACAAAAGCCAAAGAATGTCACCTTTTATAGCGGCATACTGTAATGGCCCTAGTTCATTTCAGTGTCGGAAGTTAATGTCAGTTCATGTAACTCTTGTGGATATTCAGTATCAACATCTTTCTAGAAAATAACTAATGTCAGAATTATCACCTAGGAGATTATTAATGTCAATAGGTGATGGATCAATCCATTCAAAGTTTCCTACAAGTAATTTTGACATTGAATATCCGTATAAATGCGTAATGTCTGAAACAAATATGAATCAGGTTTTGTATTATCTGTAAAATATTGGTTATTTGCTTCAGCATGTCTATGTGCACAATGTACGTTTCCACCTCTAATAGACCTTTCAATAAATGGGAGCATTTCTATATCTGAAATATTGTCTATACATACATTTACCATCGCCACTAGATAAGCAAGCCTTGGTGCTGTAAATGAATACGTAGAATCGAGTTTATATTTAATCCATGAGTAGGTGTTTTCGGAGAGAACCTGGACTCTTATTTTCAACAATGGCATTACAGTGTCCCAGTTCTCTCCGCCGTGGAATGAGGTAGGGGGAAGGACACTCAGTGCGCGCATTAATATGTGAATGACATCAGAGCGGTCCCAGTTCTCTCCGCAATGTTCAGTGAATGACGTAAGGAAGGGGAAGTCCCAGAACTCTCTGGAGGGTTCTAACGTATCATCCGGAGAGGTCAGGGTCACCAACAATTACGTCAGTGTCCCAGTTCTCTCCGCCATGGAATGAGGCGGGGGAAGGACACAATGTTCTCTCTCTAATTGCGCGCAGACTAAAACGAAAAAGGGGAGGGTGAGTGTTTGAGAAAACACATGATGACGTAACACTGACATTGAGGTTGGGTGCGGACGTGACAGACAGAGCGCGCTAGTCACAAAAAACAAAAACTCTTTGGGAGTATTTAAAAGGGAGTTGTTGGTCGGTAATCATTTCATTCACGCGCACCGCCAATTCAGCAACAAAACTACAAAATATGTCTAAAGTCACAGACGTTTATTTCGATTCAGAAGATGACGACGAGGTGTTTGACTGGTCAACGTCCGTGGAAGTGGAGGACGAGGATCCCACGAAACTGCGCGACCTGGAAGGTCGACGCGTGATCAACCTGGGCGATCCGGTATATCTCCGAAATGTATATCTCATTCGCATAATATCTCTAAGCTCATATCGATTTCTCATATCATTTTGCATCATATTAATTTGTTGAGTAGATTCCATATGTAATGTTATTAGCTTACCTCTCTAATGCTCTAAACTTTCTATTCATTTTAACGCTCTTTTCACTCATCTATTGTCCCGCTCACATTGTGTAATTTCATCTCGATTGATTAAAGCAGTAGACAGTTGTATGTATTTCATTCGAATGACTTAAAGAGCACGAACTTTCTTATATATCATTTTTAATTTCATCAATTTGTAAGAAGAGTACTCGTTACGCTTAATAAAATTGTGTTATTATTTTCTCTAATAGAAGTTATTCACTTTTCAATTTTTTTTAATGACATTTTTCGTGTGGTTTCGCTTTTTACACATGAATCTACTTTAATAAAGTCATTAAATTCTCCTAAAAAAAAAATCAAAGAAAAAAAAATCAGAGCATTTTAACACTTAAACAATAATCTCGTAATTCTGATAATTTTATCGCATGCTTTTTCTCACTTCATTCAATTTCACAACACGAACATTTAATTTTCTAATTTCATTATTCATTATCTCGAACGAAATCAAAAACTATCTAGCGAAGCTTTATTTACAGCATGCTAATGAATTAATTGGAGAGCCCCAAGTTACTTAAGCGATTATATTTATGTCAAGCAATCCATCATGAATAGTTAACGTTTCATCTAAATTGACTTTTGAACTTAATGAGATAATTATCAAACATTTGTTTTATTTACTACATCAGATGGGGTTTATTGGCTTTGATACACCGAATTCTATGTGTTCTTTTGCAATTCATCACATCCATCAATTAATGGTTATTGCATTATCCATTTTTTCATAATATATTCTACATTACTCATCTAACGGATGTTGAGGTGAGTAATACATTAGTTTATACGTTTATTATTAAATTAACATAATTTCAATCAACTATGGGAAAGTTACAAAATACAGTATCTACATATTTCTTATTTGGCAGCATCATTATGCATAGAGGAAAGCTTCA